TGATGCAAAGTAAACATTTCCATGTTGTCTTTAGCTATTTCGTTTGCATCTGGGAATCAAGACTTCTCACACATTTCAGCCAAGGCATGGTCTGCAAATCAATATTAAGCGCTTAATAATGGTGTAAACAGTCTAAAGAACACTTTAAGCATTGCTTAAAGCAGCAATAATTAATGTTTTCATATGAACAACAGATCACTTGACTACATTTATGTGAGGTGAAAGCTTGTAGTGATGAATCAATAGAAAATGTTCACACAATTCTGTTTCCACTTAGCTTTACAGAGCATTTGAGCGTCTTTCAACTCATTGTTCTGGTTTTCTGACTGAGTAGTTTTGACAAAGTTAAGGGGGGGGGGGGGGGGATATAAGTCTTACATTCAGGTGTATCAAGTGGACATGAAAATGAGTCCAAATTAATGTTGCTCCATAGCTGCTAGATATGTAAGATTTAGTTAATGCATAAATAGTTAAATAGTTATTTTTATATCATTCTGATTTGGAGACAGGAGCTCCAACACATTTCCTGATGTTGTATTTGGTTGTACAAATGAAAAGTGGCAGGTATGGTCTGAAAAGTGTGCGGGGATAGATTTTCCAAAGCTATGTGACCATCTAGTAAGCATTTCTGACAGAGTACACCGACTCCTTGAATAGTTGACTATTTTCAAGGAAGTTCCTCATACCGATTTACGGTAAATGTTGTGTTCATCGTTTGTTTCTGCTGCTCCCAAAAAAATCAGCTGCTGTAATTTTAAACACTTTAAAATGTTTGACTGCATACTTAAGTCTTGCATGAGATTGTTGTTACACAGACTTTAAAGCAAAGCAGAAGTATGATTTGATCACATAAACATAATTTAATCTCTCCAGTTCTCCGTTAACACTGTTAAGCTGTGGGGGGTTTGGTGATATATTTAATCTGTGTTGACTGTAAGACACTAAGCAGCGAGGCATTACACATCCTCTCTGACTTTCCAAAACTTTCCCTATAATTTGTAAATCTGTTTCACAACCACATATTTCCCTGCTCCTTCCCATGTCTGTATTTCATCTTTCTGTGCGATGCCGTTGACCTTTTGGTATCGCTGAAAATGGTATCTGAGAAAAAAAAAAGAGCTTAAAAGCAAGACTTTGGCTCAGTGTCAGAATGTAAATCCAGTATCCAGTTCATGAATCAGCTGGATAATGACCACTGGCTGCACTGTACCATTACTTATCAACCACTAGGGGACTCCCCTGCATTCGTAAATGTGGTAATTAGGCTCCTCTATGGCAGGATACCTGATGTTTAATTCTGCGTTCATGCCACATTTCTCCAACTAAGGTTTATACCTTCCTGTATTGTGTCAGTATTTTGGGAATCCTTACAGCTCTCCGGTGGCGGCAAACTGTTGCAAGTTATAATCAAGAGATTGTCTGAACAAAGCTGTGAAATGCAGTAATAAAGCTGCCGGTGTAATTAAGATTAGAGTTGTTTTCACTGGTTCTGACAGGCTCAGACACCCACGATGGACTGAAAGAGGCTGGATGGGGAGGACAGTAGAGAGAGGGTGAGGCATGGTCCACCCCGGCCCATGGGCACTGTGGAGAGAGGCTGAGAGCGGTGTGAAGCCGAGATGATGAGGAGGGTGAAGAGGCAAAATGAGGAGATGATTACAAGGCAAATGGACGTGTGAACAGGCAAGTGAAAGCTTGAGAAGAGGACTAGAGGTCAGGTGGGCAGGATGGGTGTTGTTGAGAGTGGAGAGGAGATGTGTCTGTACAGCTGCACAGACAGAATGAAAATATGAGGTTGTATTTATACTGTAACTCTAGATTTACAGTCTCACTGGATGGCAATCACTCACAATTATTTAAACTGCTTCACCCTCTGGCATATGCTGACGTTTGCCATAAAACTCACGATGTACATTAAATGTCAGCAAGGATCCCCACACAATACACAGTGACTTATTACCGTAAATTGTGTTTTTTTAAGGCCGTTTCTGTGTCATCATGAGGCCCAAGCATGTCAAATAAACATATACACACACACACACACCACCCGCTGTGGCCGTAGTGGCATGGCTGAGTTAGCAGTGCATAATTCTTAGCTCATGTTTGTGTGGTTCGTGAGCAACAATACACTGCAGTCTAAACATACACAGGATTCAATCAAGACTTATTTTCATTAAATCACTCAGAGTGTGTGGTCAAAGCAGCTGAACATTGGAAGAGTTTGTTCCTGGTAAAACTATAGCTGAGGTGATATGTAAAAGCAATGTTCACTTTTTCATATAAGCATTAAACTTGGTGCACTAGTCCAGTTTTGGGCTCTAAACATTTTCAGAAATGGAGCCATCGCAAAAGTAGTGAAAGTTTTACCTTCAGTCATCACCAGCTTATATATTTTGCACCAGATCCCCTGAACCAAACGGGAGAACAAGCCAGTCCATCCTTAAACGCTGTTAAATTGCAGCTTCGTGAAAGACTGTCAGGGTATTGCAAATAGACCAAAAAAAACGTCTCCTTAGAGAAGACGTGGCGCTGAAATATGTTTTTTTTTTCTTCTTTTCTTTTTTTTTTTTCAGTTAGTCTAACATTTGAGGCTAAATGTTTTAGTTATTCCTGAATATTGTCTTCTCTATAAACTTTCACAGTGTTGTCAGAGTTGCATGCAACAGACATGATATTATGAGCTCTAGTCTAGGTTATAGGATATTGTTACTATTTTCTTCTCAAAACATCTCTTAATGTTCACCTACAAAATTATGATGTCATATATAGTATCATTGTAATCCTAGATTATCAAAACATATGAGATGACATCGCCTTTTCTTTATCATGTTAGGTTGAGGAGAATACATAATTTGCTTTTCAATCAGTAAAATTGATAAAAAGAATAAAATAAAAATATAAATAAAAAGAAAGTAAAATTGCCACCGTTGAGTGTTCATGCAATGGTTCCACGACTAGAAAATGCTCTGAGCCCCAAACTGTACAAGTGCGCCAAGTTTAATTCTTTTATAAAAAGAATGTGAATGTATTGTATGTTTGTAAGTTGTCCATTAACCAGTCAGTTTGTCTGCAGAGTGTCCTTGAGAAAGACACTGAACCTCATTTGAATGATACCTGTGATACTATCTCCATGTGAGTGCTCGTGCACACATAAAAAAGAGGCACACTGTAAAGCACAATCAAATGATTAAAAAAAAAAAAAAAAAAAAAACATAACAATAAACCACAAAGTTTGCAGCTTTAAATTCTAATGTGTATACTGTGCAGTTCTGTTTCTTCTCCTGTATCCATCCCTCAGACAGGATGAATGGAAGACTTAAAAACAAAAATAGAAAAAAGTCAGAGAAAATAGATAAAGCTATTCCAGGAGGTTGTATATCAACTAAAGAATTTATTTCTTATAAGCATGAAGCATGAATGAATTGTTAAAGGAATCAAACTCAGTGCCAACATGCTGCTGTTGAGCAGGTGTAATAATCACCATGCTCACCATCTTCATTTAGTTTGTTAACATCGTTTAATTAGTACTGCTGATGGAATGTCATTGATTTTGCAGTAGTTGATCATAAACCAAAGTAGTGGACAAATCAAATTTTTGACCTGATCATGGTACCATATGAAAGGTATCATATGGGACAAAGTTATTGCACTTCCTTCCAGAATGTGTGCCACACTGACCCATCCCCTAGGTATTATGACCTTTCGATATAAATAATTGCTAAAGAACTGACAGCTTCATGGTGGCACAGATGGAGGTTTCCAGCTGGAAGGAACATGAATGTCAGCATAAACTTTCATAGCAATTCATCCAACAGCTGTTAAGAAATCTTAGTCTGGACCACAGAGGACAGACTGACCAACATTTACTTCCCCGCAATCGTGGTGCCAATTAGAGTATTCCATTTGGCGTAACGCATTTTGTACTGTAGTTTTTGCTCCACAGTTTATACACACTCACTTACTCTCCATGTCGTAAATGCCACAAATAACCTCGATGCTAAGCCGGAAACAAGGGGAACTGGTACAAAAACACAAGAGTGTCTTTGTTAGAGATTTAAGGAGATTTACGTAGCTTACTTTGGCCTCTACCAGGAGTCAGTGTGTGTGTATGTGTGTGAACTTTGTGACTCTGACAGCTTGTTCCAAAAGGCCTCTGCTGTGTCTGAACAAGCTTTCACCTCAGCCAAACCTGCGTCAACTGATTATGTGGGCTTGTATTCACGCATGATCAAGTGTGTCAAAGGGAGTCTGTTTGTTCTGGTGTCGTTTTATCCCATATCCACTGCATTGTTGCACTATTAGCGACTTGCAGACAGTCACTGGTGCATTGAATAAACTGCGTACTAAGTGGAGGTTGTTTATAATATCTGCAAACCTGTAAAAAGTGCTTTTTGTTTACTGACGCAAGCTGTTGCATTTTTCGTCGGTTCTCAGTTCTGCTGAAGCAAAGTTCCTCTAGATGGATGCCAAAATCAAAGCAGCACGTCCGACTGCGCCAGTGAAAAAAAATGGTGTTTGTGTGAAGTGTTTAAGATGGTTTGATTACACCGATTAACCAAAATCCACACAATGAGATGAAATTACACAGACAGAAAACAAGGGGAAGCTGGAAGGAGGGGACAGAGAATTCTTTGGTTTGGAGGTTGCAGATGTCCTCTGCAGTTCAAGGTTGCACACAGACTACTGCTAATTCTGAATGTTTGTGTGAGCTAGTTTTATTTTCATTCAGATAATTTTTAACCAGAGTTAATGACAAATGTGATATGTGCATCAAGTGACCCTGAGCTGAACAGTTTCACCTTGGCGTAAAAGGCAGAAACCAGCTCAGTGGTATTGTGTGTGTGTGTGTTCATGTATATGTGTGTGAGTGATTAGCAGTTACTGGAGCAACAGCGGCACTGAGTCGCAAACCTTTCTGAGGTAAACTCGTCCATTCTAAGAGGCTCCACATCATGGCACCAATGGATTATGTGACTTTAGCTTTTTTACCATTTGTGGAGCTCACAGTCGATCAAGTATCTATTGTGCTTCTTTAGTAGCTGTTAGGTCGCCAACTATTTGAAATAGCGTTGCAGTTTTAAAGAGTGAAGAGGGAAAGTATTTGAGGTCATGGGGAACTTAGAGAGCATATGGTGGATTGTGGTGGAGTCTGCCTGCAGGATCCTTGGTGTTTCTACAGCAACAGGTAAGATAAAAATACAAACAAACTGACAAAAATCAGAGTTATTTATTGTTCCAGCATGAGCCTGATTTACTTCTTTGGATCCACTCGTTGTTGCAAAAGTGAGTCCAGATCCTCTCCGTAAAAATACGAACAAGAAGTCACGATTCACTATGAAACGTAGACGTAGTCTTAGCTGTGCTAGTAGTAGTATTTAGACTTCTTCATATCTGTCCAATCTGTTAGAAGTGATGTGCTCAAGTAATGTTTATCCATCTCAATTTCCATAATATCCCATTTTTAGCAACATTTTCAGCTCTTCTGTGTGGGAGAGACATTCAGCTCAACTTTTTAAGAATTTCCTACAACCGGAATGATAAAAGATGAGATGATGATGTTGGCCAACTGTTTCTTGACCTCAGAGAACACCAAACCATCTCTTGGCTGATACATAGAGCATAATAAAAACATGCTTGATCATACATCACCGTGCTCTTGTTGTCCCTCCTCCTCTGTCTTCCTCTGGCACACCGGGACAGATTGCATGCAGCTCTCTGGGCTGCCTTAAATCATCATGGGGGAAATGGCTCTCTGGTTGCTGCCTCTTTCAAAAAATATGGGACCCCCTATACTTAAATTCAACCAGCTGCAGACACTGAACATTTACCCAAAGACATGTGCCTCACATCACACCAGCAACGAGTCTCTGTATCCAGCTGGGTTATTGGGTTTTCGTGATGCAAGCTGTTATGTATTCACACCTATTTGAGCTTTCTGTGCATTATTGTTTTTTATATGCATGTGTGTGTGTGTTTATTGTATGAGTGTGTGTTGCTGTCTGGCTGGTTGTGGGTTAACAGGTCTGGGCTGTCCTGTTGGCCTCTGTGTGTGTTCTATATACAGACATACATGCAGGAAGCACACACATGTTAATATCCAGCTGGTCTATATGCAGCGTTAATTCCTCTCACACACTCTAAACCGTTTAGTCACATTCCCCTGATTTCCCTCTGGCCCAGATTGTATCTCTGAATTTCTGGTAAGCAGGCCAGAAAAAATTGCTTCCATGTGTTTACTGTAGCAGCGATCACCACTTAACCATGCTTACCTCACAGAGAAAGGATTGGTTAATAAAATGGTCTTTTATTTATAGTTTTAGAGGCTTTGTTGTCATCTCATTTCTTATCTTCTGTCACATCAACACAGCCATATTCAGTTCATGCACCACCAACAGTGTTTTACTGTTAGCACTCGGATTAGGGAAAGTTCCCGTTAAAGGAATAACAACAGAGCCAGGCAAGCAGTTTCTGTCTTTATGCTGAGCAAGCCAACCGCTGGCTTTAGTTTCTTTTTCACAAGACAAAGGTGAGAGTGTTATCAATTTCCTTTCCTAACTTTAAAAAGAAAGCGAGAAAGCATGTTTCCAAACAGTCAAAATGTTCCCTTCAAATATTAGAAATAGGGCAGAAAGAGCAATATAGATCAGTTCAATTAAAACAAGTATAGATGCCTGAAGAAAAATCTTTTTAGCTTCTCCCACTAGATTTAAGCCATAGATGAAAGTCAGAGGAGATTTGACATCTTGCTCAAAGGCGCTTCAGTAAAGCTGTTTTTGCAGAAAAAGGGGGGAAAATTAAAAACCTCCTGTTCCTGTCCAGTATGCCTTTTGTAATCGGTCCATGTTTCCATTTACATAGATAAACAGATGAGCTGCATTGAATTGGATTGAACTGAATTAAAGAAGTGCAGTTCATTTATACAAACTTCTGTGTGCCATCTTGGCCTTGGCTAAGAAATTGTAGTATACCACTTCTTAGCCAGGGCCAAGATGGCACACAGAAGGTTCTATCAACATACTATGACCCTTCATGACCACTTTTTGTGTAGATTTTTTAGAAAGTCCTTGTTGTGTTTTGCTGGCATAGGTCAGTTCTGTGATGGGTTAAATGTCCGCTCAAATAAAATGACCAAGTTTACTGTTACTGACAAGGTAATTGGAAGCATGAGTACACTATTACCAAAGCTTTGTGACCATGACAGAAACAATTGCAATGATTACCAGCATAAGGTGTCCCTGAATGTCTTTAAATAATGTACATCAGCAGGTCAGTAACACACCCTGGGAGGTAAAGTATGACTTTCACTTTTGGTCAATTAAAATGAGTAATTTTTGTGTTTCAGATTAGTTATTCACAAGTGCCACAAACATCAAAACAGCAAGAATGCAGTAAAAACTACTTTGAAAATCACAAAGAAGGAAAAAAAAGGTGCAGAACAATAAAAGCTCAAAGTTGCATAACAGAGGAAATATAAACAGCATTTATAGTTGTTGGAGAGGTTTACGTTGAGCAGCTGTCTCCAGCATAATGAGAAAATCATGAAGTAAGTCTGACATCTGGTGGACAAAAATTGCTCACAAGTACCTACCAGGAATTCTTTTTAAAAAGGAACTAAGTATATCCTGCTTCTTCTTTTTCAGTGTTGTGTGCTGTGGGAGTGGAGACGCTGCAACAGGGAGAATTCAAAAGCCTCGGCATCTACCTTGTGTAAGTACGAAAGGAATATGAACCTACCGAAGCACTTCTGACTTTAACAACAAAACTGGTGGTATTCCTAAGCTTCAAATAAACTATCTCTATTTTAATATGATAAAGAATGTGTGGCCTATTGGGAAGGAGTTAGAAGGATGAAACAGGGTCAGAGGGCAGAGAGGAGACCAGTCCTCCCCTGCTGCTTCTTATAATCTCTGTGACTCATCGCCAAACTCCCACGGATTCACAGGAAAACATCTCTCCAAGGACACTAAAAATGCATGACTGTCTCATCTGTCAGTGCACACAAAACAAATTCAGATGGACACTGCACTCACACAGAAAGTACACAACTCAGCGATAACGTTTGACAGAGAGGGCAGTGTTTGATGATGGTTAGTCTTGGGGGCATTTTTCTGGTTGGCTGGATTGAGATGGTCATCAGAGTATGTGAAACCAAAGCAAACAAGGGGGCATCAAACTGTAAAAAGGAAAATGAAGAAAAAACACAATTTCTAAATGACAACCCCTGTGCTATTTATGAAGGTATTTATGTAGGGCACTTCAGGCCAAACAAAAACGAGAAAATGCAGTCTTAATCCTCGGCTCTAAATACTGGGAAACTGACCTATTTAGATCCAGTTTACACAATTTAAAAACAGTTTACTGATTGTATCTCTGAGACTGTATCGGTTTCATCAGGCTCGACATTTCTCCCCCCAGAGCGTCGTCTGTTGGCATCATGATGTTTGAGTTGGCCTATTTTCTGGATGCTCTCCTGGTCATGTGTCTGCCGTGAGTACACAACCCTCATCTGTAGCATATATGCTTGGTATAAATACCACATATCACCGTATAATTCTCTAGGTAGGTAGTATTTGAATTTTATCAGCGTGAGGTCCAGAAAGAAAGTCTAAACACAAATTCTCATTTTCATCATTCTGTCATTGCGATATTGGCATGAATGTATTTTGCTGTCCTTACTGTAGTAACACGACTCCTCGCTCTTGACGGGTATAAAGATATCGCTAAAGCTGCTCGTAAATTGAACCTGCCTGGATGTCTTCCTCATCTTCTTCCTCTTTACCTCCACAGCTGTCCTCCAGACTGGCAGGTTTTTGTGTTGTGGGGGAAGATGGCTCACATTGGGGGCTTCCATAAATTTCTCTATTACTCCATCATGTCGGTGGTCTGCTTCTTGCACCCTGTGTTGGTGTGGCATGCGGTTATCCCAGGTAAAATGGCACCAGCAGTGTTTAAAATAATCATGATAGTATCTATTTATTGCACTTCAGTGTCACATTTCAAGCAGGAAAAGCACAGGTTTAGCTAATTACATAAATGATAGCCCTGTTTTACTCAAGTATTCCCACACCATGAACCAGCATACCCAATACTAACTGAATAGAATCAATAATGTAAATATCTATAGCCATTTTTTTCCTACTGTAATATGTCGAAAAGTCTCTGTGTAAAAACTTCCATAGAAAAAGATAGCTATAATTTCTCACTGCAGGGACAATGCTTCTGGTGACAGCCTTTTTCAACTTCATACTAAGCAAGAAAGCCAAAACCAAGTCTCCCAAAAGGCCACAGGAGAGCTACAGCGACCAAGGCCCGACCACCGTCTGTGTGACAGAACGAACAGGCCCGGAGAGCACTTTCTCTTTCCTCCATATGGTGAGAGGAGAGGGGCTGGCACTTGCAAACACAGATCGCTGCCTCGGGCTTGGGGAGAGAGGAGAGAGCGTCCAGGCTATGCTGGAGATGGAGCAGACACCTAAAGACACAGACAGGGAGAGGAGGTGGTGGAAAGAGAGGAGACTGATATTCTTCAGAAGCAGGGAGGAGCCTGTGGAGAGAGAGATGGAGGAGATGGACGGATACCGTGAGCCTGAGCCAGACACCACCTCAGACACTGCACCTATGATTACTGACTGAACGCTGCTCTGCCGGCAGACTCAGCTCGTTGCCGATAACACACAATGGAAAGCATTTTTAATAATATTTATGCTGGCTGGGCACAACTGGCTGGTGCTTCACTATGGCACACTAGCTGAAAATATCCTTATAAAAGGTCTGACAAGCCAAAATTAGCATTTCTGAGTGTTTGGTAATAAAATACTCTTTTATTTTATGTGATTACACACTGAAATATAAAGATTATTAGTGTTTTTATATTTAATATTTTACTGATTTGTATATTTTTTACTTCAAAAAGACATCTCTGTACAAACTAAAACACGTGAGAATTGTTATAAGTATTTTGAATCACAATTATTTGAGATTCAACTGTATAAATTCAAAGAAATTAAACCATTTGTACCTCCATGTGCATGTGGGGGGCTTTAGGCCCGTTTTTGCAAAGCCACCACTGATTGAAGAGCGGACATTAATTCTGGCAATCCAATCCAGTTACTGCAGCATACATTATTCATAAGGCAATAAATTAAATCAACTGTTTCGTTCATTCAGAGAAAACGTGTGTGTGTGAGACTGAGACTATAGCAGGCGTTGGAGCAAATGCAGGTGCATGTGTTCGTCACATTCAAGCCTCCTCATTGTGTGTTTGTCATGTGTGAGCCGTGACCATGGAGACAGAGCTCTGGGAGGAGTGCTCACGTTATTATGGTGATGAGAGAAATATCAGATCGCCTACCAAAGCACCACTATGTAGACCCACCAACACACGTCTCCAAATCGTGTATTAGTAACGTGCCATATGCTGATAATATTAATAGTGTGTGTGTGCAGGCCCAGCCTCTATAAATCACCCTTATATTAGCATATTTGTGATACAAAGGCTGGTGTGAAAAGCCTGTACTATCATTCCATTTGTTTTCCCTTTTGTTTCATCACGCTACAAAAGACACAATTCTCCATACAGACATTCCTCTTTTGTTCAGGTCATAAATCAATAGCGTTTTCTTCTGTCAAAACACACACACACACTGTATTCCTCAGTCCTTTGTTCACTGAACTGCAGGTATATAACTGCATGTAGCCTTAAGAGGCAATCTCGCTGCAGCATCAAAGCTAAAGAGAGAATCAATAAAAGCACAGAGCCTTATTCATCAGACAGCACCTCACTGAGAACTGGGGGTCAGACAGCAGCCACGTGAAAACACACACGCACTTGAACAGCCCGAAGGTTAAACAACGGGGTTGCTCTCCATATCTGACTCAAATGAAATCCCCAGCAGCTTCACGGTGTCTATAGTCCTTCAAAAATTTAACATGGTTTTTGCAGACATGACATGTGAATCCAGTCAGGAGGAAAGAGGCATTCTGCTGTTAAATGCCGAGAACAGAGAGTCTTTGTTGAGAGTTTTCTGAGGTCGCTCCCTGGCCCTTAATCTGAGCGGTGTTATTATCTTCACAATGATCTCTGCTCAATTAGCAGCTGAGTGACCCAGTAACAAACTGGAGGAGAGGGAAACGACTTCAGTGTTTCCAATCCGCTTCCATAAATGCCCCGCCAGCTTTGTCATACCCACATCCTTTAGAATGAGCTGTTCTCTTTGAGGGAAGTTGTTCAGCTGTTGGAACAACTTACTTCCTCAGTGCACGTTAAATCATAAATCCTATTCTTGCACAAAGAGAGAGAGAGAGAGAGAGAGAGACTTCCTACAGTTTGTGTTTCCACCCTACAATAGTTTCCTCGATGGCAAGTCCAGGCTCAAAAACAGGATGGGTGAAATAAATCTTTACAGGTCACAGGAACGTCTTCCTTTACTTCTTCCTCTCTTCCTTTAGCAGGGGGAAAAACAGAGTAGGTGGTTTAGATTTTGTACTACTGCATATGTTACACACAGAAAAAGAAGAGCGGCTGTTCTTTGTATTGTTTGCATAACTGGTTTGATTGAACTATTTTAAACAATATAACACAGTGTGGAAATATTCACAGGACAATAAAGGGAAAGATACAAAATGCAAACAGGACTAACTAAAAAACAAAAAAGCATGTTCCAGCAAAAGCTGGTATAAAAAAAAATACCAAAAGTTAATACAACTTGTTGTCTAAATGGAAAACATGCTTTTACAAAGTACTTAAGGGTTTGCAGGTTTTTGTGGTTATTTCCAGCAAGCAAACACATCTATTGGCTTTATGCAAAAATATTACAAAAAATTACAAAGCAGCACATTTAGTTAAAAGAAGATTTATCTTATGGTCTCCTGTGCTGGGTTTCATCCTTCTTTGACACTGCTGTGATTGATGAGCCTGAAGCAAAGTCTCCTGAGGCACCTCGATCAGGAGGGAGAGGTATGTAACCCTGGCTGGCCCCGCCCATACTCAACGCTGATTGGCTGAGACGCATCAGTGCTGCCTCCTATTGGACCACACTTCTGTCAGTTTTATCTAGCGGCTCTGAATACCGCACGGCAAGAGAGGCATGAAAACTGATAAGGATAAGCGGGATACATCGCCGCTGGATATACGGAAGAAGACGGGGAACGCTCTCTGTTATGGTAAGACCCAAACTAATTACATTTACTGCTGTAAATGTTTGTATGAAAAGATCTGGAGCAAAGGGACTTTTAAAAACCCTAAAAGCAACACAATGCTCTGATGATAAGATATGTTCGGAAGTTAGATGCCGGTTAAATTGAGCTTGTGTTTAGGAGGAATAACACAGTGGCCATTCGTATACAACAACTTTTAGCAGCTTCTATTTGCTGTAATATTCCAAAACTGCACGCATTAAAAAAACAGCTGCAGTAGAAATAGATAAATATTCCTTATCAAGTGGTCTGCGCATAAATGTGTGTAAATCTGTCCTGTTGGCGTTTGTCTCGAAATGTAGACTTTAGAGGAGAAGTGTTGCCAAATTTGGCATCCTGTGCGTTATCTGGAGCTCTCCTGGACATTTTTACGCACAGGGATGGATCGTCTTTGGGCGCAGCTGCAAGTCTAGGTGCGATAATTGGATGCGAATCTCGCGATGATCAAACCAATTAGCAGACCTGCAATGAAGGTTCTTTGTCCACCGAGGGAGCGCACACATGGAGGTGCTGCTAGTCAGAAGAGAAGAGGCGGATTATGGAAATTCACCTAAATCTGAGCATCACCCCAACAGACTGACCTCTATTTTCTTTGCACATCTCCAAGCTTTTGGTTTATCTCCTGTGCAGCCATGTGCACTGGCTGAATAATTCATAATAATGGTGACAGACCGGAATCCTTTAAGTTATGGAAAATTCATACACCCATTATTACGTATAAATATGTATGAGATATAGACTGACCATCCCATTATGCACATACCTCGTCAGCACTTTCCTGGGATTAAAGTGGAGATGGGCAGAGGTCAGTGTGAAAGGAGGGCTGGCAAGTGCTGCTATTACCTCAGTAATTAACATTCTGTGGATTTTTATAAATGATAGAGATTATGAAAAAGTCATTATAAGGAGCTTGGATTGAGATTTTTTTTTTTTTAAAAAAGGAGCAGCGATGTTGCAGTCATTTAAAATAATCGTGCTGCCATTTTTTTTTTTTTTCATGCTTATTGTTTAGCTGAATTAGTGCCTCACCTCTCAAAGATCACTTCCCAGTCAGACAGTGCTGGGAAGTCTGTTTCCTGGTTTTTGTGGTGGCTTCTACTGCTCATGCAAGCATTTCTTCTTCTGTTTTTTTTTTTTTTTTGTCTGGGCAACTTCTGTTTCAGCCAAGAGAATTGAGAAAAGAAAAAAATCACTTCCTATGTAACAGAGTTTTCTTCAGAAAGATCTGAGCTTTAAAGAGCAACCATTATCGGAAGTTTGGTTAAAAGGATTGTGAATGGGTCAGTAAAACTATCTAAATTGAGTATTAAGGTGGCATTATTACTTTAACTGATTGACTTTTATCGTATCAGTTTATTATCACTGCAACTCAGTGTATCGTCTCAGAAAGTTCTGCATCCCAGCCAGGTAACTAAACAAAGTCTTCCAAAATAAAGCTGTTCACTACCCTGCTGGCTCTGCAGGTGTTGTCAGTGTGAAAAGAGGTTGCAATCCCTGTCTCTTAAAGGCTTAGTGGGCCAGCACTCAGTAGGATTGATTCATGATGGCACACTGAATTAGATGTGGCTCAATGCTATGATGTAGACACTAGGTGGCGCCATTGTTCCATCAGCATCATGGTTATGTGGATAAAGTGATATTTTATATACAGAAGATTAATTCGGGAAAACAACCGAATCAGTGAGGATATCTGTTGGCTCTGTTATGATGTGTGGGACATTTTCCTGCCATGGTTTGGGTCCTCTTAGAGGGAAGGCTCACTGCAAACAAATATAAAGATCTCTTGCTTGATCACCTTTATGATGAAACATTACTACTCCTCTTGGAAGTGGTCTCCTTCAGGATGGCAATTACCCCATACATAGGGCAGGAGGGGATACTGAATGGTTTGATGAAAATATTGTGAATCACTATAGCCTTCACAGTCATCTGAACTCAAAGCAGCTGAACACCTATGGGAGATGCTGGAGTGATGTGTCAGACAACAATCTCCAGCGCCATCATCAAAACACCAAATGAGGAAAACTCTTTTGGAAGAATGGTGTCCATCTCTCCAGTGGAGTTCCAAAGACTTCAAAAATCAATGCAAAGCCGCAATGAACCTGTTCTGGTGGCACGTTGTGGCCCTACACCTTATTGACACACTTGTGCTCAGTTTCCCAGACATGCATTAAGCCTAGTCTTAGACTAAACACATTTTTGAGAGTAGATCTCTATTGAATATTTTTTTAGTGAAGGACTAGGCTTAATCTAGGTCATGTCTGGGGAAACAGACTGTTTATGTTGGTGTTTCCTTTAATTCGTCACATGTTTATAGATACCTTGTAGAAGCACGTGTTCAGATCTAAACTCGCAGTGTCAGGTAGACAGTAGGTTTTAGCAAAAATACATAAACGATTACATGTTTTTGCTTTAAATAAAACATTTACATTCACATTACCTTACATACATTAAGGTTTTGCTTCATATAGCACAAATACTGTAAATCACTAGTGAATTCAACACCATTACACCACAAGAGATACATTTCAAAAACACTACTAAAAGCTATTATTAATCAGTTGTCAGTGTGCACTGAAGAATGTGTTTACTTTTGCCATAAGGTCACTACGTGAGTCTAAAAGACAATAACTTCTGGTAAAACATGTTGTAGCTGGTAGTTAATAATAAGCTTTGCAATGTTTGTGTGCACCAAAGGTGTCACGTAAACCCTAAATAGGATTTTAACATTCGTGGAGGAGGTAGCATAGAACTACGTAGTTACAAATCAAAACATACTTCATAGTTTTTAAGGTATTTATTAGGCAGCAGAATGTCCTCATTTAGTTCCGGTGTATTTTAGTATGTGCATTTAGGGTGTGTTTATATGACATTTTGTAGAGTAATTTAGGACAAAGCATCACATTTTATAAGCTGTTTACTGACCTAGATTTCAAGTGTAACTTCTAAAAAGTAACATAAACATAAACTATACAACTATAGGTGTTTAAGTACAGTTTGTGTACACGTGATAAACAGCTAAATAAATATACTTAGTCACATTCCTCTATTGGATTTTAAGAGGGTTTTAGCTGGTCAAATGTCACACAGTAATAAGACAGCTGATGTCAGATCCTCTTAGTCAGTGTCCTGTCTAACTGTGTGACCAGTGTGCAATATTTGACTTCAAAGGCACTTGCCTGCCATAGCCATGTTTATTGATAACACAAAAGTCCCTGAAATTACCCTTTCATTCCCCCAGTGACAACGGTAGTCTTGTTTCACAGTTAACTTTCACTTTCCATCTCACTACCATGTGCTGTCAAGCATGGAATGAGTGAAGGATCCCATAACATTTCTGCAAGATTCTTTATCAATAGGCTTAACAGAAAACAGAAATACAGCATGCAGGTACATGCTGAGTTATTCCCATTGTTCACATCAGCGTGGGTGCATGGAAAAGTATTGTGTGCGTGTGCGTGTGTGTGTGTGTGTGTGTTCAAAGGGTCTGTCTTGTCACATGCTTTACAAGAAATCTGAGCTGGTTGTAAAGCATGTTTATCAGCTATCATTTAACACTCACTTTCAGTGGTCCACACCCCGATCACCTTGATGTTTCCGTGTTGGTTGTGCAACGTCAATAATAGTCCATAAAACTATAAAACCTGTGAGCTGATCAGTAACTGTGTTCTCGTTTCCAGTGCTCATACACACCTTTGTTGATTTTACTGTAAACTTCCTCAAAATGAGATTCAGATTCAGTCACACTATGGAAACAAAACAGTTAGCTCCTGTTGTAGCTTTAAGATATTTGAGCAGATATTTTGAGTGAGACATGTTTGTTTTCTGCCCGCAAACTCACTGACTCACATCCTGTAGTTTATTAACCAAAGCGGAGGCTGTGGGCAAAGTGACCTCGTTTATCCTGCCAAGGATGCAATCATCTTTCCCTTCCTTCAATTCTAAAGACTATCAAAGGCTTTAGGCTAAGATCACACATCACACAGTATTGTTCTGAAATATTTATTTAGAAAACAGTGTCTGAAAAATTCCCGTATTCTTATAAAAATAAATAACCGATACAGTCTGCCGTTAGCTTTTCCAGCTGCATGTACAGAGCCACACACAAACAATACATTGACCATTTAACAATGCTTTACAGCTATAACTGTTAACATTTATGATGAGCCTCCAGGGCTTAGTTTTTTAACGCTACATCAGTCATTTGCACAGAAAAAAGTAAAACCTCCTGCTGCTGGTTGAGAGAGTTTGATATACAGCTCACTCAGGCGACAGTTTAGGGGAGCTTTATGTCTGAAATGTTTGATATTTGTAGAAGGAAAAGTGGCTGCCATTGGCGGCCTGTAGGTCCAGTATGAGTCCACAGTGTGGCAAGAATCAGCCTGGACACTCTTCTCTTCGTGCAGTAGCTTTGGATCATTTGTCAGCTTAACTACTGGGAGTTTGAGGATGAGGCTCTCCTGTTGTGACCACGTCTCCTCTGTGAAGCCTGCTGGCGCTGACCCTTCCCCTTTCGCGCTCTCCTCCTCTTCAGACACACCGAAACATCACGGCCCAAATTATGAGATCTGGAAAACACGCAAAGTGGCACAGCACTTAGTTTAGATGTAGGGTAGAACTTCTTACACTGAGTATCAGCTGCTGGTCAGAGCTGATAACATATTTATGCTGAACATGAATTTGACATATTCCATTTTCCTAAATGTTTGGATGCTGTGTGTGCAGTGGCAAAAACTACATTTATGGAAGAATTACATTTACAAATCTGGGTTGTAGTAAAAAAAAAATGTGTTGATTGGCTCTATGTGCGTCAGCCTGCACTGACAGTTCTTACTGTTTCCCATGAAGGTGCAGGAAAGATCAAGAAACTGTACCACTGGGCGCTTTGTTCCTACCAAAACTGGTTTGGCAACTAATAAGATACTGTTGGTCGCAAAAATATAAAGATGGGTGGTTCCACTCTGGGCTGCCAGTTAGGACACTAATATGTTCCACAATGTTGTGTATGAAGAATATATGTTGTAATGTGCAAAAAATCATAGCAGAGTTTCATTTTTTTAACCTAAATTTGAAGGACTACACAGTTATCTAAAGCTCTTAGTATACTAGTCTTATGATAACATCTTTACAGAGGGTTATATCTGGGTCACTTCTGCCTGTACTAAGTGTGTGTGTCTTCTAGCTTACGAATAGATAAGTGTTATTGATCGAGGCTCTCACCTTCTCCAGCAGCGAATCAGCTGCCTGCCCATCGGTGCCTCTGGATCCAGACAGACTTGCCCATCGTTTTTCTTTAGTGTCACTCTGAGAAACACATGCAAAGCCACACATTTAGTCAAACTCACGTGTGTGTGTGTGTGTGTGCGTTGAGGCCTGAATGTGTGTCTGCAGCATCTGGTACTCACATGACTGTGATATTGTTACAGCTAGGGCTTCTTGGGTAGATTTTGAGCGCTTTCAGCTGCCCTCGGACACCTCGCTGCGTAGTTGGACACGAACATCTTCCTGGGATAAATGCGCCGTCTGACTCTCTGACTGCGCAGACACAGTAACGAGATTACAGATTAATTCAATACAGTGCAGAGATTAGGTTGCTCCAAGCCCTCTCGCTCGGACAAACCAAACAACAATCCTCACTTTTCTACATTAAAGCACAGATCAATGCATAGATTCTTACCTGTGATCAGTACACAGCAGAAGCTCAGGAAGGTGAGCTGACAGACTGTCTGAGGATTAAGCTTCATGCTGGAGACGAGCTGAGCGTGAACACTGAGCCCCCGTGTGCTGCTTGTTGCTGTTTTATAGTTACGCTCCTCCCCCACTCACTCGGTACTGGGCTTTCCATACCAGGAATTCCCCAGTGCAGTGTCCCTTGACTCAAGAGTCAGGATGCAAGGATCAGGGACAGCATTCCTGTTGGTTTGTCAAGAGGGAATCAGTGATTAATAGGTTTCCCTTCTTTTGCACTGTGCACTTAATATATTAGACAAAAACAAAAAAGACACCAGAGTTGCAGACAGAAATGCTGTGGGACAGTTTTATTTTGGATGACACTGAACTCAAATGATAATTAAGTTGAGTTTCTCTAAATATATTAAGCTTTGATATTTTCTAAGTTGGCCACAGTAGCAGGCGTTATCCTTGACACACGCTTCTTTCCGGGCTTTGTTGAGCGTTGCTCCAACATGATACTTCTATCAGTCTGCTGGCTCTGTGTCAACAACACCATGTGATTTCTTCTAATTCCCTGTCCTTGCCCTTCACTGCGGGGCAAATACTCCGATAGCTTTTTATTAAAAATCTCTCCAGTCCTCTAAAGCTTGAAGAAAACATTAAGTATAACAACATATCATACTAATGTGTATGTTTTGCAATATTTAATGTTTTTGTCCATTGCCCTTTTAAATGCAAATTATTTCTCCGGCATAATTAAGGTTGTTTGTACATATTTATTTTGTGTTTTTTATATAGCATTAGATGTTAGTTAAGGTTTCTTATAAGCTTATCTCTAATGTTTTTCTTCCACAGCTGGACTCTAGTCAGAATGGGTGAGCGTCAGACCTACGTGAAGCTCAGTGAAGAGAAACTCATACCAAAGTAAGTTCTTCTAACTCCTTGTCACTGCACAGTAATTACAAACAATAAAACAAAGTCACAGTGGTGATTAATTATATTGGGTTTCATCATTCCTTGCATTGTCTGAAGCTGTTCGCACTAATCTGCCCTTTGTGTCTCTGCGTTCACATTCAGGTCTGACATCCTGTCACTGCTGAGGACGTACAACTGTTATCACGAAGGGAAGAACTTCCAGCTGAGGACTCGTGAGGTGAGAATAACTGAGCTGCAGATGAATCACCTGCCAGGAGAAAGTGCTGGTGGGAATGAAAAAGTGAACAGAGGAGCTATTGAAAAGCTGCCATTCGTGATTACATGATAGATAGCATTGTGGAATGGTTCTCTCGCACATGCCAAAACTGGAACCAGTCACGGCAAACCAGCAATTTGATTTTTTGGGCAGATAATAGGAACAGAAAAAATGTGAGCTCAAATTGACTCGATATGTGGAGGCAGTTCTGAGCGCAGACCTGGAATTCCTGGGTTCCTTTCCAACATGGCAAACGCCTGGCAAACCACAAAAAGCCCCCATTTCCATCAAAATGAAAACGGAAGGAGAGGGAGAGTCTCTGATTTCATTCCTAAAGCTCTTTCTTGCTCAGCAAAATGTTCCCGCAGTAAACTTTTTTGCTGTTGTGTCTGTAAAGCTGCTTGCAAGAGTGTGGCTATTTGTTTGATAATCATTCTATGGGTTTTATGGTCTGGAGTTCCCCTTTGCGTTCTCCTGCAGGTTTTTTGGAGAGAGGCATTGTGTATATGAGTGTGTGTGTGTGTGTGTGTGTGTGTGTGTGTGTGTGTGTGTGTGTAAGGGCTGGGCAGGGTGGTCAAGATGGTCCCTTTTTTTGTCCCCCAAGTCAGATACGACTCACTACATTGACACATTCTGGGAAAATCCCCCCCAGCCACAGACTGAATGTGGGTACAGAGGAACAAGTGATATCACAGTATTGAGGGAATATTAACCAAAAATAGGACTACATCAAGTTAAACTTCTTAAAAGGGGGCAGAGAGCCTTGATATTAGATGAGAGAATAATAAATGGAATCCTTCAGTAGAGAATGACTCAGCACTATTTACTGCGGTGAATTACACCACTGTTACTTTGTAAGAGGCCGACTGAAGCTTTAATGTGGGATTTTAACAGTGTGTCATCATGCGACTTGGCTGAGAATGAAAACTGAAATTGAAAATGTAAAAAAAAGTCTGTTAATAGAATCCAAGCAAAGTATGTCCCTTCCCTAAAAACTGAATGTTTTTTACTCAGTTGTGACTGCTGTAAAAAGAAACTGTTGCCAGTGGTGGAGGATGTATTCAGAGCCTTTACTTGAATAAAAGTGCTAATACCACATTATTAAAATATTCCACTGCAAGTAATGGTTCTGTATTTAAAACCACAATTGTAGAAGTTGTTAAAAAAAAAAAAAAAATGTTACCAGCAAAATGTACTTAAAGTATCAAAAGAAAAAAATGTTTTTTAATTTTATATGATGTTTTTAGATTATTATTACTGCTAATGTTTGTTTATGTGCTGTAGATGGTTAAGGCTGAGCTCTTTTTAACTACTTCATATACTGCTGGGGGGCAGCAAGCCAGAAGGTTGCTGGTTCGCGTCTCAGGATGGAATCCCCTGGATCTTTCTGCGTGGAGTTTGCATGTTCTCTCTGTGCAGTGTGGGTTCTCTCCGGGTTTTCCCGATTCCTCCCATAGTCCAAAAACATGTTGAGGTTAATTGGTGATTCTAAAATTCTGGTTGTGTGCTTAGTTGTCTGCCTGTAAGTGTGGCCCTGTGATAGACTGTTGACCTGTCCAGGGTGTCCCCTGCCTTCGCCCTGAGTCGTCTGGGATAGACTCCCTCGCGACCCTAGTGAGGATTTGGTGGTGTATAGATAATGGATGGATGGATATACTGCTGGGTAATTTAATCTACAGTAATGCATCATATTCTATAATATCGTCCTATTTTTACCATCTCTGCTCTTTGAGAATCACATTTCTCTACAAAGTCAGCTCTTCATGAGTTCAGAAAAACTACATTGTTCCCAGCTTTGTGACATTCATGTTTTTCCAGCTAATCCAATAGGGTTTCTTAACTGTTTATGTAGCTTAAGAAGTAGGATTTTTTCTCTCCACCTATTAAGGAACACTTAATCCATCAGTTTATCAAAAAATTCTAAGTTACCACATTTGAAGATTTGCGGTTTTCACTGAAATGAAAGGGTGTGAAACATTGTAATCTAAAGGGTTACTAGTCACTGAAGCAGTACAAAGTACAATATTTCCCACTGAAATGCAGCGGAAGAGAAGTATAAAACTGCATAAACTGGAAATACTCAAATAAAGTGCAAGTATCTCATTTGCCAGCCTGGGGGCTTTCTGTGTGGAGTTTGCGTGAGTTTTCACTGGGTGCTCAGGCTTCCTCCCACAGTCCAAACACATGCTTTGGTTGACACAGGTGATTGTAAATTGTTCATAGGTGTAAATGAGTTTGGTTGTCTGTCTGTGATTGGCTGGCGAGTCAGGACAATGACTTGCTTATGTAAGCTTACTTTACATGATGCAAGTATCAAGTCTTTCTGCAAGAACAGTAAGCAGTAGTTTGTCAAGAACAGTAAATCAACTTTATTGGTGATTAGATATTAAAAAATACTATAAATATTGGCAGCATAGTAACAGCTCATCACAGGAAAATGTCAAGTCTGAACCAGTGTAAGCCTGTAGCCAATAATAATCAAATAAATACTTCATCAATACTATTCACTTTAAGCATGTATTACAATAAATCATTCACTATATTTGCGGACAGGAACACTCGATACAGACTTTGGACGAGGCTGTATCACTCAATCTTAAATCGCACTGTGCCAACTTTGGTAGTATTGAGCAATTTCTGTGCGATTTCTCTTTCTGCAAAAACAAAAACAAGTTTATTCTTGTTCCATTGTTGAGATTGTGCTGTGAAAGCTCACTCTTCATAAAAATAAAAAAAATAGGCAAAGCACCTTGTGTCTCGTTTCTTAATATGTAGTCTTACAGGAATGTCATTGCAGCTTAAATTCTGCTGGTGGTAGCTGTATTGTGGTTCTACATTGTTGATGTTAGGTCTCATGTGTGTCTGTTATAATGCAAAAAGTTAGACCAGTACATTCTGTACGTTGGTCTTGTTTTAGGGCTTTTTTCAGCATGTCTTATTCAATCCTACTGTACCTTAAGAGGTAATATGAGGGCAGACTGAGAAGTAGCAAGGTCTGAATATTCTCACCAACGCCCTTGTCTTTACTATATATATATTTAAAAAAATGAAGGTAAAAAACCCCCTCCACATTTCTAAGCTCCAGAAAACTTTGTAGCTGGAAGTGGAAACTTGACAAACAGTAGCTGACAGAACAGTCCTACCACAAGGACCAGCTGCACTTCATCTACTTAGGACTGACTCATTAGATATTTAGTGGATATGAGGGACAAAACATTACTCAGCAGTGATATTCTTGGCCTGGAAGCTGACCCTAGACCAAAAACTGGAAAGTCCTAATGTGAATGTCTTGAAAATACTGTGACTGTGTGAATGAGTTCACATGTAACAAAGCCGTAGACTGGCACCAATATTCCCAGACAGAGTTTTAATAAGATCCTATGCGTCTTATACAAACAGGTTCTGTGTGGAAAAATAGGTGCTCGGAGGCAGTTGAAGAGGGTGGGATTTAAGGATTAGATCATGATCATGTGCTGCAGGTGCAGTCAGGTGAAGTGTTAGTCATGTTGAAGGACTGTCAGGTGTTTTGACTTGGAGGTTCAGTGCCGTACAGAGTAAACTAACTCAAAATTTCTGAGGAGAAAACAAGTTCTAGCATGTGTGCCAACTAAGAGTTTAACAGTGTAATAATGATGCTGATTGCTGGAGGCTCTATATTCTCCTTTCACTGCTTGGACTGCAGAGCCACGAGCCAGCGCTGATTCACTGTCTTGATAGTGGATTTGTGTCAAAATTCCTGTAAACTTTGGTCTTCTGACTATTTTAACTTCCAAACCCCCTGTGACTAAATATTTTCACAGATTGTAACATGGTGTAGTCAGAAGACGTCTGTGTGATTCTGAGTCAACACTGCGCTCAGTGAAACACAACAGTTGAATGAATCCCCGCTTGCTGGTCTGCGGTCGTCACCCAACCACCAGTCTACGTGCATGTAGCTCACTCTAGTGGTTGTATCAGATATTTTTCAGTTTTCAACTCCACCACTGTAGCACCATCACTTACCACTAGATGACAGTAGGATGCTGAGACTCAAAAGGGCATTGGTTTGGTTCATCTGCAGCAAGTATTGGAAAAAATCATTCAGATCCTTAAGTTAAGTAGAGGGGCCGCAAGGTGGCGCAGTTGGTTAGCACTGTTGCCTTGCAGTAAGAAGGTCGCCGGTGGGGGCACTGGGAGTCTGCATGTTCTCACCGTGCAGCTCTCTCTGGGTTCTCTGGCTTCCTCCCACAGTCCAAAAACATGTTGAGGTTAATTGGTGATTCTAAATTGTCTGTAGGTGTGAATGTGAGTGTGCTTGGTTGTCTGTCTCTAAGTGTAGCCCTGTGATAGACTGGTGACCTGTCCAGGGTGTCCCCTGCCTTCACCCTAAGTTGCCTGGGATAGGCTCCAGCCCCCCCCGCAACCCTAGTGAGGATTAAGTGGTGCATAGATAATAGATGGAAGTTAAGTAGAAGCAGAAATAGACTAAAAATGCATTAAAAGCTTTATCAACAAAATGTACTAATATGAAAAAAAATACTAATTAAAGTGGACCCTGTGAGTGTTTTATTATTGCACCTTATATTTTTGGGTTATTACCACTAATGCTTTAGTATATAAGTAGCATTTTTATGAAGTCTTTTAGGTGTAGCAGGTCAAATGATGTAATCTAAACTCCTGTATCTCAGTTTCTCTTGGGTAGATTGTCTTGAGGTTGTCTTCAGTAATTTTGTAGGATATTAAACTTCCATCAGCACTTCCTAAAGTTCTTCTTTAAATGTTGTTAGTTTATTCTCTGTCCAGTGATCCCATTAAGCTCTTATAATATTGAGGTGTGGTCTTTGTAGAGGTCATCCATCACTGTAGGTGGTTTATTAACCTGTTTTTTTGTTTGTTTTGTTTTTTGTTTTTTTTTCTCACAAATTTCTGTATAAGAGCGTGACTGCCTCGACTTGGGTAATCAGTATTTTTTGCAGATTTGCCTTGAAGAGTGACCTTTCTGATACAAACTCATGATTTTATGCTTGCTAAGCTTTATAATCTTTGGCATTTTGAATGGAATGATGTGACTAAAACTTTGACTCACAAATTTGCGAGTTTCCAGCGAATTAAACTCTTACAATATGTGTATGGTTAACATTAATAAACATGGATTAAAACCTAACTTGATGACCATAGCAAAAGAAACTTAAAACAGTCAATAAAAAACACTCTTGGCGTGTCTTGATTGAACCCTGGTGTAATTCACCAGACGATGACTGCAGTAAATTTCATTTTTTTTGTCATAATGTCGTGTTGTTCAACAAACCTAATGGTGGCTGAAGACTTTTGCACAGTTCTGTACATCAGCACATATGAAGTGAGGCAATGTTGAGTCAAATCAAAGCCATTTTAAGGCATGAAGGCACAAAAAGAGATCATTTTCATGGGATAAAATTCTAAATATGTAATTCTGATCAACAGAGATGGGACTTTAGGGGATAATTCAATGGCAGGCCAAACGTAAACATATTCACCATGCAGAATGCTGCATCTCATGGTATATTATGTTTATCTCATCTGTCCATAATTATAAGTCAGAATTTACTGCTTGATTATAAGATAAGCTATAAAACCGAGGGTAAAATGTGTGCCTCTAAAATGTAGTGGAGTAGAAGTGTAAATGTAGCAGGAACTAGAAAGACTGTAATGTTGAGCTAATGTAAGTTACAAGTACTTTGACTCTGTACTCCAATACATTAGCTTTCACCGCTGGCTAATTATATGGTTTGTGTGTAACGTGGTGGTGTAAAGAAAACATTAGGAGTTTAAACAGTCAAACAGATATAATAAAGTGTAAAATGTTTCCCAGTGAAATGTAGTACAGTTGAAGTATATACATATATTAAATCTAGTAGCATTTAATCAAGACCAAAATTAAAAGTTAAACGTTGACAACAATAACCTCTCACAGTGTTGTACACCCATGGATGCGCTTCATTTTAACAAGTGCTACAACAATTAATGTTATAATTATCTGTTAATCAGTCAGGTATTTTTCAGTTAATCATTTAGTCTCTAAAACAATAGAAACACAAGGATTATTTTTTTGTTGGATTTCAGATTAAATGATCTTCAGTTGTTTTATAAAGAGAAAGAATTCAAGATTTTCTGATTATTCTAGCATTTTATTAGAAACAATATCCATCACATCTTTACAAAATATTAAACAATGTAAACATGCAGACTTGAGTCCGTAGTGCATAGAATTAAATAGATCTTCACTTTTCTCATGAGCCATTTGGTGATCATGTCTTTGTCCAGCCAAAACCAACAGTGTATTTCCTCCCGAGGTTCCTCCGACTTTGTTTGATTACTCCACCAAAGTACCTGCAGGGTTTCCCACAACGACAACAGCATCATTTTTCAAGTCCTTATCTGCCCAAACAGCCAGTCCACAGGGTCTTTGCCCCTGCAGTCTCGTTCTCTGCTCATCTTTAGAGAAAAATCCTCTGTGCTGTTCAGGTTCAGACTGGAGTGTCTGGAAGTCCTTAGTGTGCGGGGAGACCCGCGAGGAACTGAGGCTGAGACTGACAGCTTCATCTGAGCCTTTGAGAACTGCCGTATTCTAGGGGACCTCTGGAGTCTGACGGGGCCGTAGCCTGGAGCCTCAACAGGGCGGGCGAGAGCCTGGATACTGATCATGTAGTCCTCCTGAGACTGGGAGCCCTGGGTGGACTGGGAGGATGAGGGATGGGCAGGCAAGTCCTCGAGCGTCTCAGTAATGGTGGGTAAGAGAGGCTGGGAAAGAAACAATCTCCTCCTTTTCATACTGTAGTGGGAGAGGAAAAATAAAATAGTTAGACTGTGATTCTTTGCCAACTTAGTTTACTTCAAACTAGATAGTGCTTCAACATTTCAGTAAATCTCCTTTATTTAAAAATTGTCTCTTCTGTAATGAGTGAAATCTGATATGTTGCTGCAAATCCTTTAAAATCAACATGTGGATATGGCTAGATCGTAAGAATAGCTGAAAATAAAGAAGGAAAAAAGAATCAGTCTCACCTTCGATGCTTGAGTTGTAGATCTGGCATTCAGAGGGAAACAGCGTGATGTGTAGTCTGTGCAGTTGAGTGTGAGCGGACTGGAGCGCGTATCCAGGCTTTATAGAGGCACTGCAGCAGGGCGATTAACCACTCCTTCCAAAAATAGCTCTGCTGACCTTACTCGCATCTGTGTGAATTGTGTGTGTGTGCATGTGAGGGTGTGTTCATGCCTGTTCAGGAAACTCAGGAGTGGCGGGTTAGCAATGTCCAGTGGTGCAGCTGCGCCGAATGTTTATATTCCAGAAACAATGAAGCCATGAAAAGAACACTTTCTACTTTTTCTCTCCCTTCTTTGACATTTTTGATAACATTCAGTCTACAAATTCAAAACAATTCATTGTTTCTTCAGTAATGACTATATTTCTCACCATCTTGCATTGACTTGATCCCCTCGTTGTTATGATGGAACAATTAGAAGTGTAAAGTCTAAAAACATGTCAGCCACAAGTTCTCCATGCAAATGAAACCATCAAAAACGCGACAGGCGTTCATTTAATGACCAGCACACCATGAAAAATGCCATTCATTGCATGAGCTGTTTGTAAAAAAATAAAATAAAATTGAAAATCATGTGGCACATTAAGCAATCGGAGATGCTCAAGTCAGCTGCTTTCAGACAGACAATAGAACTTGCTTCATGGAAATCTTGGCGAGTAAAAGAAATTCTTTGATCTTGGTTACGTAATTAGGAAAAAGCTGTAGATGTAGATGAAGATTACCAGCACATTTAGTATTGGTAAAGAATGATATAATGCAATATTTGGGATTCAGGTAATCCAAATATAACAGAAAATAATCAAATTTTGTTATTGTATTATCACGATATAACAGGTTACTGGTATCTGTTACACATTTTTAAAGTGTGCTCAGCGGTCACATGCCTGGAAAAAGCAGGAACTCTTTATAGCATCTCTACCTCAATTTTGCATAGTTAAACCCACTAACAACATTTTCTGGACAATTTTCTTTCTTGTGATTATTAAATTTTTATTTGTTTCGGGCAATTTCTCTGCCAGACAAATTAATCAGAAAGTAAAGTAAAACTTCTGCCATTTCAGTTACTTTTTGGAGCTCTGTTGCTCTTTTACTTTGGCTTACAGCTGTTTTCTACTTTCTTTAATTTACGGTGAATCCATCATAAGCTAATTGGGTTTTAACTGTTTTGATAAAGGCTTGCTTTGAAATCAGCAATTAAATCTGATTCAGTGTACACACTATGTATGTATATATATCATAAATACAATATGCTGTCCAAACAAAATGATGACAATTTACGTGATATCCCGTAAGATCTAAATCATCTCCATTGAAAATAAGTCACTTTTTAATGATGTACATTTTATTGTATTGACAGATTTCCGGTGGTTTTTCTTTTACATCTTACAACAAAGCTGAGAATTTCTTGACTAATCAAAACTGCTGCAGGGTAATCCCAAATTTTCAACTATCAGCTGATCAGACTGACTTCTAAGTAATAAATTGTTGCAATTTGTTTCTTCTAAATCTTGCGTGACGAATCGATTCAGTGACCTTTTCATCAGTCGGAACTGTTTTGAAACATCTGTATTGTATAATGGGCACATTGCATTAGCTGTAGTGATGATATAACAAGCAGTCGCAGACAAGAGAAGCAGACAATCTACTGTTGGAGTGGCGATGAGCAATGACAGAAGTCACAGTCATGGTGTTATATCTAAGGTATTACTGATCTAGTTGTCACACAAAGCCCTTGACTGACTGCTGACTTCAGGCTTCACCATTTAGGCCAGCAGGCTGAAGACCTTTCATTAATATTTACTATGCTTATTATTTTCTGTTTTGCCCCTATCATTGAAAACCATCTGCAAAAGTTATTCTTTCTCTGCACTCAGATCCCGTACTGCACAGTGGCCATTTTCTTCTAGACTGAGAGTTTCATTGTCGTGGAATCAAATGCCTCCCCCTGCGTGTACGTGACCCACAGCAGTGGTTGTTCTTTAGTCATTTCTGCCGCCTTTTCAGACGTGACTTCACCCTTGTACTGTGGGGGGGAAAAAAAGCAGGGTGGGTCAAACCTGACAGAGCTTCTCTTAGATGGGAGGTTCACCCTGCAAGCTGTGAGCGTCCGTTCCTGCACGTACACCTGATATTGAGACGCTGTGGCTGCCGGCCAGCAGGATATCCCCTCCGAGCGTGGCTGCTGATATTTATTGTTATATGTGTGCTTCTGTGTATGTGTGTGTGTGCAGGAAGATGGGGAGCTCATCCTCGAGGGGCTGCTTAACATCTACTGGGGTCTACGCCGACCAATAAGGCTTCAGATGTATGATGACAATGAAAGATTCCGTCTCAACAGGTATCATGACCTGGTTGTCTCTGGAGGCCTCAATGTGCTGAGAAAACAGATGTTGGTCGCGTGATGACAACGCTGTCAGAGACCTCTCACACAGCAGAGAGAAACACCAGCAGCATGAAAGCCAACCCATATTACTATCTGAACAACTGCAATTAAGAAAAAAAAAAGACTATCTAAATACATAACTCAAATTGAATTAAAGAAAAGGCAAAATTCACAAAAGTCACTCAAATAACTAGAAACTGAAAAAATAAAAATTTGCTAAATTAGAATTTAGTGAAATAGGACATTGTTTTTGAATTGTGGTTGAAAAGAATAATTAAAAAAATAGAAAACACTTGATTGCAGTGATTGGCTCCAAGGGTTAGTCAACAAAATATTAATTTATGGGTCCCATCATTTCTGTGGAACCACAATTCAAAAGCAATGTCATGATTTTCATGAATTTTTTACTCATTATTACTTTTGTCAATTTCAACTTATTTCAGTGACAGCCGTTTTTTTCTTTCTTTAATGGGAGGGTATGAATAATTTTGAGGACAAGTGTATATGTTATATAGTATAATAATAAAAGCTTTATTGATCACCAAATGAAAAATTTACAGCAGCATAAGAACCAAAACACTGTGCACCATTTTTCTTTAACTGCATAGTGATATATTTTAAACATCCCAAATATCCACTGGTTTAAACTTCTCAAATGAGAGGGTTTGATGTGTGTCTTTTGTCATAAAGGACAGTAACATTAGTAAATATGGTGGTAATATATTTGAATTTTGGACTATTGTAACATAAAACAATATACAGTGTCATCTTGAATATTAAAAATGCATTTTTCTACATTTTATAGCCAAACGCTATTAAGAAAATGATTGGCAGATAAAAATAATCATTTTAATTAGTCAGCTAGCTATTTGACCCTGCTTCCAGGCTTTGATCCAAGCTAATCCCCTTCTTTCTGTAGCATCATATTTATCAGACAGATGCAGATCTTTTCATGTAGCTTGTAACAAGAAATAAGCAGATTACCTAAAAACCCAGTGTTCCTCCACTGGCAACATCCAATCTGTAAACCACATCTCACAGCTCCACAAAAAGAACAAATATGTAGACTGTAAACGCAATGTAAACGCTGTTATAAATGCAAAGATACAGCAATCACAATTTTTCTGTCTTTCTACAGGAATGATAGGTCAGCTACGGCAAAGCAGTTGTCAGCAGAGGCTAACAATAACTCAGTGGGAAGAGAAACTGGACCAGCAGGTGAGTATAAACACGTGCCCTCATTCTCACACACACAGCTGCTCGAGTAGATGTAGATTACATGCACACACACACACACACACACTGATGTAGATTACAGCTCCACAAGTGCTTCATTCAGCATTTCCATTGTAAAGGTCGGCTCACGTGTTGAGCGCATATTATCACGAGATGCCATCCTGATCAGATCACCAACACTATAAATAGCCAGGATTAGACTCCTTGGCACTGACAACGGCCTTTCTGAGAACTTTTTGTCAGTTTGCTGAAATCTCAATTGGGTCATTTTTATCCAAAGATCAACTATTGAGCGAAACAGTGTTTTGTTTGTTCACATTTTAGTTACTCGCCCTTTTAAACCGGATGACACATTTCCATTTTTATCATGTGATGGTGATGCTGTCGTAGAGGATTTTAAATTCAAATGGAAACAAACAACGGGATTGATTTAGTATGTTTATTTGACCTAAAATACAACAAAATCCTAACATTAGTGTCTGGGTTCAAAGATAAAGATAAAGATAACTTTTTTGATCCCACAGTGGGGAAAGTTCACCGTTACAATACCATACCATACAAATATGGCACACTGTATGAGACTTAAAATATATAACACACTTAACCTGTTAAGACCTGAGCTCTTGTTTGACATGCATGTATGTATGTATGTATGTATGTATGTATTTATATATATATATATATATAGAAAATATATATTAAAAATATAAATATATTTTTTAAACTATTTACTGAAATATTTTAATAGAGAAAATACAAATATAATAAATAACAGTAATGAAATAATAAAAAATAAAATAATAAAAAATTTTTAAAATTCACTACTGTGGTAATATAACCCAAAATGTGATGTCCACGTATGTGGATTCCAGGTCTTAAGAGGTTAAAGAGGCAATCTTAGCTGATATAGAAATCAAGAAGTCATTTCACCATTGTTTAGGATACATTGATGCTGGTAATATATATTATATATTTAGGTATAACCCCATAAATGAATGAATACTCTACAGGGGTGATAAGTGGGCAACTTGTTTATTTATGTGACCTTCTGCTGCCCTTATAGTGACAATACATATGTGAACTAAGGATGGGATGTGCTTAGATATAGACACATTCATATGCTTGATAGTAAAAGTAGGCATAGACAGATTATCGGTTTGGCTGATTATCAGATCCGACATACCAACTTATCGAAAAAATATCTTAATTTTAAAATGTGCTATTTCGGGTGTGGTGCGGCTGCCTCTGTCTGTCTACTGTCTCTGCGTCGTCCCGCCCACAGCACAATCTGATTGGTTACATGTCACAAGTAAGAGCCTATCAACACTGAACGATAAATATTGAAAAGTTCTCTTTTAATTAAACATATATAACATAAATAAACAAAGGCATTTCAACAAAGTTTTGTGTTGTTTGTGTTATTCTACCTCAGCTACCAGTCTCCATGACTACTACTAATCAATATTGATATCGGCCCAGAAAAAAATAACACATCAGTCGGCCCATAAGTAAAAGCATTGTTCAAAAAATATCTTCACAATATTGACTGTCAGAATTTAATTTTTGCGACAGGCTATAAAATTCAGCTCAAATATTGGTTAATTTCTACAAATAAGATTTTAAAAAGCAAAGCGAACCAACCGACCGTGCTTTGGCTAAGAGAGTACAGAATGTCTGTTTTTGATTATCTGATTCATAGAGGTGTGTTTTTATTTACTCTGAGCTGGTGACATGGGTGGTCAGGAGGAAGAAGACTCCCCTCAGCTGCTGAGGACCAGGAGTGATGCCTCGTTCATGCGGGTTCAGAGGAGGTCCAACACACACACTGCCAGAGATCTGCAGCGGTTGCGCGCGCACAGGTTCTCAATCAACGGCCACTTCTACAACCACAAGGTACAATAAACAGAACGCACATACAGGCACACACATTCATGCAGCTCACTGTTGACACATCTCCAGGTGCACATGGGCAGTGGTTTCCTGAGCGGGTGTGCCTGTACTTGTGCTGAGCTTCACAATAGCCTGCTGTGGGCTGATTTCATTAATGTGCCACAGAACACAAGTTCCTCCATCAGTTTCTCCTGGATACAGTATGCGTGTATGTTGTTATTGAACCGATTCCAGCTGCAGACGGAGGGATTTCCTTTCTGTTTCAGATTTCCTGTCCAAAATGTTCAAGGTGTTCAAGTCCAGGAATCACTGCTCAAGTCTAGAAGTGTTGATACAGCAAAGTTCCTATAAAAAATACTCTGTGTCCTCTTCTAAGACATTCTCCGTTATGTGTTCCTGCATGTTTGTTTTCTTGCCCCCAGACATCTGTATTCACTCCAGCCTATGGCTCGGTCACCAATGTACGAGTTAACAGCTCTATGACGACTGGACAAGTCCTCAACCTGCTGCTACACAAATTTAGGGTGAGCAGTAAACATACAAGTTTCACGTTAAGTAGAGTTTCAATGACACTTCAAACTGTGAATAATTTTTATTTGTGTCTGTCCAGGTGGAGAACAAATCTGAAGAGTTTGTCCTTTATATGGTGCATGAGTCTGGCGGTAAGTTTAATCGTTGGGTTGTCATCAGGAATGGTTTTTTTTCTATGTGTGTGTGTGTGTGTTTGTGAACAGGTTTTCTCTTTGCTATGATCTCACAGAGAGAGCCAGGCTGAGGGATGGTGAATACCCGCTGGTGACTCGTGTGCTTTACGGACCCTGTGAGAAAATCTCCAAGATTTTCATCACTGAGGCCGACCTGGGAGAGGAAGTCACATATGATGTGAGTCTGGGCCTCGTGCCACCACTCTTTCTGTTCTTTCATCTGGTTCATGATTAGTGTCCTTTCTCATGTTTTTTTGTAGTCCCCAACATGGATACACAATGATACAATGGGCAGCTGATAGATAGTTGGGTTAAATTTAGCAAGCTGAGCGCAGATATCCTGTTTTGTGACTGATGTAACAATAGGCTAAGGTGACTGACTCTGTGTTGTGACGGTTCTGAGGAATATAAATAAAACGGGATTGTTGCTGGACAAATTTCCTCAGTAGTCTATGAATGGAACCGCTCTTATTAATGTCAGCTCGGTAACACAAGTTAAAGCATCAGTTCTTCTGAAAGGACAAGGACAGTCTTATTGTATGTAGCTGTGGTTTTGGTTTTATTTGAGATATCCTCCTGTTATTTTTGTCTCAATCCAGTGAAGTGTAGTGTTGTTCAGACCATTCAAAGTTTCGATTTAACACTCAAGAGTAATGTTTCTTTTTAGAAGCAAACTCCAAGTTACTTTGGATCAATCACAGAACTGGTTCTTGATATTTTTTAGTGCAACTACTGAGAAAAGTAGTCCATAGCGTGTTGTTTAGGGTATTTTCAGAACACAGGGGAAATGTTTTTTTCTTTACAAAACAAAGAAAGAAGCAAACTGTGGGGTTTTCTTGTTTGTCTTGTGGCTAACTGACAATTTACAGACAGTGGCAAAGTTGTTTGCGGGTTGCCAATTTATACTTCCTTTCCAACAATGCAAACTGGGCGTTAGTTCTGGGCTGAAGAGCCACCACAGAGACACATCATTATGTCACTGTGTATGTCTATGCAGCATACAGCAGTGATAATAAATTAGCATATGGTGTTTATACATGCTGTTGCAAAAGGCAGTTGCCATTTGTGAAGACGGAACTACACAGCAAAATTTGAAACACATTTATAAGCACTTTCACTGAATAGCAGTAAAAGTCCATGCTGAAGCTCTGTTTTTTCTTCTTCTTCTTTGGATTAGGCAAACTATGTCAGGCTTTTATTTTAAATGACAGTCACAAAGTTTTAGTTGGTCTAGTTGAGGATGATAATCTTGCCCCCAGCCCCTCATGTAACTTGTCTTTGGTTGTAAATCAGCATAGGGCTGGTGAGACTCTGGTTCGAGACTAGGCCCTAATCCATACTTGATCTCCTTTGATGTTAAAAAGGGGCGATTATTTTATTCTCACTATTTCATTGTATTTATCTGAGAAAAAAGGTTTTAAAAACTGTCTGGTTCCCTGTGTATTGGCAATAAGGATGTGGGTAAAGTCATACAACAAGCATGTGTGTGGCTCACTCCTGTTGATATTTCAATCTTTTTTTTTCTCCCTAGGTGGCCCAGTACATAAAGTTTGAAATCCCCGTTTTAGACAGCTTTGTAGAAAAGCTTAAAGAAGAAGAGGAACGCGAGATAACCAAACTGACCAAAAAGTAAGTCAAATGTAACTATTGAGCAAACAGTTATAAAACTTGCTTTGCTTTATTTCATTAGGTGAAGCCAATATGCGTGTCTTCTGCCGGAATTCCACAATCAAAACAAGGCAACTCTCTTTCAATGAGGACAGTGTTTGTAGAAAACATTAATCACTCAGTTTGCAAGCTTGTGTAATCACTTAACTCATATGACTCACCCAATGTAACCCCAAGACTAATTTTATGTGTGGGCTTGTATTACTCTTGCTGTGGGGATATCCAGCTGTTTACACAGACAGGTGGGGAGAGTTAACTCACCTTTGGTAGCAAAATGTCCAAATAATGGGAATCCTTGGTTTAAGGTTGGATTAGTTTAGGTTTAGATTAGGATTACTCTCAATCAGGAAATTAAAGTAAGTCAACATGAAGTCCTTTGAAGTGATTGCAACGCAGCTAAGTCTTCACTTACAACATGTGGGCTTAAACGCAGAGTCACTGTGACTGCACACAGACAGGCTCAGACTGGAGACAGACAAATACATTCTTGTTTTAGTCTTTTATTGGGATTTACTGATGATGACACACCGCAGCCATATCTTGTCAAGTGCAACTAATGTTTGAAAAACCTGTGTTTTTCGTGCTTTTATCTCAAAGTTTATGTATTCTTTTGTATATTAATATTACAAAATACTGGAAAGTACTTGTATTTGAATATGTATTTATTCGTGTGGTAGTGTTGGATGTATCACAGCCGTTATTTCTGTGTTTTCTTATCTTTGTAGGTACAGCGCTCTGAAGTCTATGATTCTACATCAGCTCGAAGGCAGGGGTCACACCAGTGACAGAGTATGAGAGCGTGTGTGTGTGTGTGTGTGTGTGTGTGTGTGTGTGTGTGTGTGTGTGTGTGTGTGTGTGAGTGTGTGTGTGTGTGTGTGTGAAAGGGGAAAGGGTGGGTGCAACACTAATGACTGTTGATTTACTATGGGAAGATGTCCAAATATTGTAGTGAATGTAGAGGTAAAGGTGAAAGGGTGTTTCTACTTGCAATGTGCTTCTACTTTTAGAACTATATATCTCACTCCTTTCTAAAAACCTGTTTTGTTAATATTTTTTACTATGAACCGTGTTTTGATATCTCCTATTAATATATTTGCATTTTGTATGAAAATTCTTACTGCACATACGGATATTTATACAAAATGTTTTTGGTAATGTTTTTCTCTGACTCTGACCTTTTTATGTAATAAAACGTCTTTAGTGTTGCCCTTATAAATTGCTGTTGAATCTCTACTGACCCCAAACAAAATACCAGGCTCAAGCTTCCCACAACCAAAACAGGCAACTTTATTATTTCCTGGACTTCTGACCGAGCACAGATTAGCATTGTTCTTTTAAGCAACCGTCTTTGCCAGCTAGTTCCCATAAGCTTTGTGTGTGTGTGTGTGTGTGAGAGAGAGAGAGAGAGAGAGAACTTATCAACATTACACAATGGGGGTATCCTGAGAAAGGAGGGTTGTTCCTTTTTCCCACAGTTTTGCAAACAGAAACATTGTTGTAATGTTTGGTGGGCCACCCTTACCCTTCAACACTGACCTACAATCAGTTGACCATTATTGTTCTTTGATTTATCAGATGATAATAATAATGAAAATAGTAATAATAATATGAATAATATTAACGTCCGCTACCTCAAACCCTCACACACATATAGATACGCACAGCTTGCGTACTTACAGCTGAGTTTGCATTTTAGCGGTCACAACCTGTACAAAGTTATGTATTCCAATTAAGGGTCAAGGGAATATCGCTAAAGGCTAAAGAAAATAAGCAAAGGAAAAACTGTACCTTATGAAATTCTCCAAACTAAGCCAGTGGAGGTGGTTCAGGCATCTAATTAGGATGTCCTCTGGGCACCTTCCTTTGGAGGTTTTCCAGGTACAGCCATTTGGGAGGAGACCCCAGCGAAGACCCAGAACTTGCTGGAGGGATAATGATTCTTATCTGACCAGAGAACATCTGAAGATACCCTGGATGCGCTGAAAAATGTTGTTTGTGAGAGGGATGTCGGGAACGTCTGCTTAGCCTGCTAACACCACAATTTGACCCCTGATAAGAGGAAGAAAATGGGTGGATGAATGGATATCAAGTTGATGATTCCTTAATTAAAAGTATGTGGTGTCATAGAAATATCTATAACAACTAGCAAATAAATCTTGAGATTAGATTGTCTCATGCGGGGAGAACAACTAGCATTCCGAGGCATATCACCAGCATCCCTTGGCTTGTTGTTCACATTATTAGGCAGCCTTCATCGGCTTCAACATAGGCTCCTCCAGTCTCCAAAAACAACACAGAATACTCTGTTAACGACTGAAATCGGCTAAATTCAAACCAAACAAGGCCATAACAAAAATGTATTGAGCATATTGTGGTTAAATTTCAGTTATTTTGGTGAAGTGGAAGTTATTGTATTGACATGAATGATTGCAGTTAATAATTTCCAGTTAGAAATATGCAGCCTTCATTTCGAGAATACGGATGTTGCTGCAAAGAAATCCCAAACAACTTCAACTGAGCAGCACAGAAGAGCAACATGGTTTCAAGGTGAGCACCCAAAATTAGTGTCACCACTTGAGTAGGTGACCAAATGACCACAATCCTCCCTTCTGTTCCTGAATTACAATGTTGAGTTAAGTCCAGAAAAGTTCTTAGGACAGCACAGTGAAGCAGACCTTTGAACTTTTGGATCTAAAATATCATTACTTTATTCTGTTATGCTGGTGAACATTTGTTAAATGTGTTGTCAAAATTAGCATATGACTTCTTGAATTATGACCAAAAGTGTGTTTTATGGGGTCACAGTGACCTCGATCTTTGCTGACTAGCCAGTTTTAATTAGTACATTCTTGAGTCCAAGTACATATTTGTGCCAAATTTGAAGAAGTTGCCTTTGAATGTTCCCATAGGTGTTCCTGATAGATTTCTTACAATTAAGTAAGTAAAAACTGCAAAGTTACAGCCAATCTTTCAGATTTTTTTTTTTTTTTTTTAATGGACTGGTCAATTTCCATATGAACACAGATGTTGCATGAGCCTTAGCCACCATTACTCTGCCCACTACATTCCCTGTGCTGCCTGTAATAGCTGTAATGTTATCGTAATATAAAGTCAGGTAGTTTGTCTGAAAGACTGATAATAATACATTTCTTTCTGTTGCTTATCTGTTGTGTTATATTGTCATACAATTGCGTACATACATTCTCAGAAATCAAACAGTAGTAAGGCCACAATATTCATTTAATATAATAATAATAAACTTTATTTATAGAGCACTTTTCAAAACAAATGTTACAAAGTGCTTTCCAATGAAAACAAAATTAAAATAAAGTAAGGCACACTGAATACAATAAATAACAATAATAATAATAATAATAATAAAATAGTAATAAAAATAAAACAGATATTTTAAGAGGTCCCCTGTTTGTTTTATGCACCAGCTTGGTGGAGTCAGTAAGAACAAGAAGCTATAAAAACATGAAGCTTAAATAAAATGTGTGTTAAGAAATGACTTAAAAGAGAGCACCATTATGAGCATGCTTTTTTATCCTCAAGTGTCCTACTCTTACATTTTCACTTAATAGACATGCTTGGTTTTTATACTAACAGTAAGAACAATGTGAGTTAAAACCGCTTCTTTCAGTTTTCTCCTGCTACTAAAATGTTTTTGGTCAATGCTACTCATAGATTAGCATGAACTCATGACAGCTGGGAGGAGGTTTGGCTCCATCTAGCGGTCAGGAGGGAACCCGCAGCCTCAGACAGCAGCAGTTCCGTCAAGTCAGCGGCCAACATGCAGAACGGGAGGCGGAAAAGCGGGTTTCACATCCTTCATCGATTATCTCAGAGCTACTTGACAACAGAGACTAGCTTTATCTCTGCTGTCTCTATAGTTCCTGCAAGTCCTGAGGTGAACTTTGGACGCCATGGTCATAATCAATCACAGTCAATATCGAATTATGAAACGCAACAATGGCGGCTAAGGACCCACAGATAGTGATAGTAGGATGCGGGATATCAGGTATATCAGCGGCTCACCGGCTCGTTAAAGCTGGATTTCAGCATGTACGGATACTTGAAGCGACTGAAAGAAGCGGAGGGAGAATAAAAACGGCCAAACTGGGTGAGCAATTCAATTGAGCAAACACCCCAGTATGTATTTGTCACTAGCTGTCTTTAGCCTCGCAGGTTGTTGAAGTTAGCAACGTGTTGCACAGCTAAAAATGTGTTGTCACCTGTAACATGTTATGAAGCCAAGTTTACTGTCATCTTCAGCAGCTGCTCTGTCTTTAATTCCGGTTAAAATGCTGTAGGAAAAGAAACAGGTGTTTTCTAGCATAGATGCAGGTTGTATCACAAGTGGTGGGTTGTCCTTAAAGAAATTTCAGACACCTACTTGCTTCTGTAAAGTTGGAAAGACTTTCACAGATTCGGACTTCCGGCATCAATACGAAACGTCATCAACACACACCCCTCTTAACCATCAGTGTGAGGTGGGCAATATACTACAAGCAGGGGCGCATGTACTGGGGTGACAAGCATAGTTAAGTTAATGTGAATCCCGTAGGCGACTATAAATACTGAAGAGGAAGGGCACCATCACCAGTTTTTTTCCAGCCTAAATAAAAGAGAGCAGGGAGAGCATCACAGAGAGGAGATGGAGGAGGGAGAGGAATGAGAAAGAAATGAAAGCATGCAGAGCTCAAACAGTGAAAGGGAAATGAGAGGTCCAGTGTTGTCACAGGCTGTCTCTTGTCCTGCTGGTCTACATGGTATGAATAACGCTTTATTATTATACGTCTGAGTAAGAAGTCCAGCTGTCACAATACTTGCTTTTTTGGACAAAATATTATCTGATGTAGTTCATCTTTTAATTTTAAGATCATAAGTAGGCCCTTAATTCTTAAGAATATCCAGATATTGGAATTATAGTGTTAAAAGAAATGTCTCAAATGAAGAACATCAAACCACAAACCTAAAGCAATAATATAAATTAACTGTTGTCTTTACTCTGACTCTGTTCAAGATGCGTTGATAATGTAATCATTGTGACAGGTCTATAATAAGCATAGATCATACAAATACATATTTCCCAAAACAGTGCATAAAAGAGACATGTCTAGTCTCAAATCTAGCTTGTTGCTAAATTTAAGAAACATTTTTAACATATCTAGCATTGTGTCCCCTGCCTTCACCCACTCCCACGCCGCAGCCCTAATGAGGATTGAGCTAGATATGTACTGTGTATACACACACACATATGCCATCCCATTACTATTTCTCTAGATCCACCCCTAACTTACAAGATCATTTTTATCAAAAGCTGTATTTTGTGCAGCAGAAATAACATTGATCTCTATGTGCAGCCGGCTGTGCGACCAGAGCGCAGGGACCGTCTGGAAATTGCAACACTGCTGTTACAGCGAAGACACATACAACAAAAATATCTAATAACGTCACTGGTATTCACTGCAGTGTCACCAAAATCACAACAGCCGTCACGTGTCTCCTACTGATTATACTCCAACACTTGGTTTGACAAAAAATACTTTTTCATAATTTTTATGGATGTATACTGTCATCCTCATCAGCTGCTCTGTCTTTAATTCACGTTTACCTGCAGTGAGAACAGAAACAGGTGTTTTCCAGCATAGGTGCAGGTTGTATCATAAGTGGTGGGTTGTCCTTAAAGAAATTTTGAGCATCAGACACATACTTTCCTGCATTCTAGTGAATTTTATTGCTCAAAACTCAACAGCCTTCTCTGCAGGCTGCATTGTCAACCAGTTTGGAATCAGCAAGACTGCTGTCCATTGCAACCTGAAAAAGAAAATGCAGCATGACAACGTCAAAAACCGATTAGGAAGAGGCAGAAAAGGGTGGCCACAGTGGGGTAATATTTATCTCCAAAGTTGTGCTTTCAATTCAGAATTTTACAGCGCAGGACTGTGGTTGCACTACTTAAACAACCAGAAAGCTGCTGAACAAGTGGCTTTCACTTAAGATTAGAATTTGGCTTAACCAGATCTACAGTGCTCACACATCCATCCATCCATTATCTATACACCGCTTAATCCTCACTAGGGTTGCGGGGAGGCTGGAGCCTCTCCCAGCTGATTTAAGGTGAAGGCAGGGGACACCCTGGACAGGTCACCAGTCTATCACAGGGCTACACTTAGAGACAGACAACCAAGCACACTCANGCATGTACGGATACTTGAAGCGACTGAAAGAAGCGGAGGGAGAATAAAAACGGCCAAACTGGGTGAGCAATTCAATTGAGCAAACACCCCAGTATCTGTCTTTAGCCTCGCAGGTTGTTAAAGTTAGCAAAGTGTTGCACAGCTAAAAATGTGTTGTCACTTGTAACATGTTATGAAGCCAAGTTTACTGTCATCTTCATCAGCTGCTCTGTCTTTAATTCAAGTTTAACTGCAGTGGGAACAGAAACAGGTGTTTTCTAGCATAGGTGCAGGTTGTATCATAAGTGGTGGGTTGTCCTTAAAGAAATTTCAGACACCTACTTGCTTCTGTAAAGTTGGAAAGACATTCACAGATTCGGACTTCCGGCATCAATAACTCTTTAACGAAACGTCATCAACCTACGCCTCTTTACCATCAGTGTGAGGTGGGCAACATACTACAAGCTACTACTACTGGGGTGATAAACATAGTTAAGTTAATGTGAATCCTGTAGGCGACAATAAATACTGAAGAGGAAGGGTACCATCACCAGCTTTTTCCAGCCTAAATAAAAGAGAGCAGGGAGAGCATCACAGAGAGGAGATGGAGGAGGGAGAGGAAGGAGAAAGAAATGAAAGCATGCAGAGCTCAGACAGTGAAAGAGAAATGAGAGGTTCAGTGTTGTCACAGGCTGTCTCTTGTCCTGCTGGTCTACATGGTATGAATAATGCTTTATTATTATACGTCTGAGCAAGAAGTACAGCTGTCACAATACTTACTTCTTTGGACAAAATATTATCTGATGTAGTTCATCTTTTAATTTTAAGATCATAAGTAGGCCCTTAATTCTTAAGAATATCCAAATATTGGAATTATAGTGTAAAAGAAATGCCAGAATAAAGAACATCAAACCACAAACTTAAAACAATAAATAAAATTAACTGTTATCTTTACTCTGACTCTGTTCAAGATGCGTTGATAATGTAATCATTGTGACAGGTCTATCATAAGCATAGATCATACAAATAGATATTTCTTGCTGCGAGGCAACGGTGCTAACCACCTGCGCCACCTTGCAGCCCTGTTCACACAATATTTTGTTAATTGTGCAGTTAAAGAAATAGTAAATGGCATTTTTTATTTTTTACCATGCCTAAGTGCACTCATATGGACTGGACACGACCCGCTCCACTACCTGAACCACAGCTGCTCCAAACAAATAAAATATGGCTTTGTTCCATTTTACTGTATTTCTGAGAATAAAATTACTCACAGATCTGTTTTTCCTCTACAGGTAATACCATTACAGATATAGGTGCAACTTACATCCATGGTCCATCTGAGGAGAACCCATTGTTTTGTCTGGCTCGGGACTATGGCCTCCTGGATCCACAAGCCCTCAAACCAGAGAACCAGGCCTTGGATGTTGATGAATATCCCCCCTGGATTCCCAACTGGTTCAGTAGTTCAGGTGACCAGATGTAGAACAACACATCCTGTTTTCAATCATAACGTTTCCTGTTCATGACTGCATGTGTGCACTACTGATAATATATAATATAATGACAAACCTAATGCACCCTGTAGTCTGTCAGAAACATCCAAAAAGCACAATGTGATTGTTATTAATATTTTATATTGTGCACATACAGGTCAAAAGCTGAGTGCTGAATGCATGAATGATGCACTGGAGATGTTTTATGAGCTTATGGATGAAACCTATAAATCTAAGAACGACAAAGCAGGTGCCAGTTTTGGACATTTCATACGATCACAGGTACATTGTCGCTTCGTCACCACAATTGTGTTCCTGTTGCTAAGATTTGAGAAATTCTGGATGAATGACAAAATGAAGCCTGTAAAAAATCTTTAGTTGCTTGTCCATGTGTGTGCTAAGTGTAAACGTTTGGTTTCATTTGCAGGCACAGAAACAGACTGCAAAGAAGTGGAAAGATAAGGATGAAACCACACGTCAGCTGCTGCTGTCTGCCATCAGCACCATGTTAAAGTGGGAGTGTTGTGCAAGTGCGACTCCCTCCATGGATGAGCTCGACCTGGCAGGATTTTCTATGTACAAGGGTCTGAAGGGAGTGGACTGCACACTTCCAAGGTTTCTACTCTACCATAAATGAGATTAGATATAACTTTATTGATCCCTTTGGTAGAGTACCTCAGGGAAATTGTTGTACTAGCAACAACACAACACAGACAGAGACAGTAGCACACATCAATCAA